GACAGAAAAGGAAATAGAGGGTCAGAGAGGTGAGGTCAAAATAAAAGTACATGTCAGAGTGAGTATTAGAACACAAGACTCCTCAAAGGCCAGGTAAAACACAAAACCCAGCCAGGCTTCCTTTCTATATAACCAGTGTAGATATGAAATGTGGCTCCAACATGCAGGAGTCCCTTAAGTACTCTGAAGATAAACATATCTGCTAAGACACAAACTGTCTCAATTCATGATGTTTCACTTTGAGGTTAATAATTCAGCATGTGCCCAAAGCTGGGCTAGTTAGAGAAAGGTACCAAAAACCAAAACCAACCAAATAAACAAAGCCATAGCTGCTTCTCCACGGAAAGAGATTAAAATTTATTTAGAGAGAAGAACCACTGAGCATATGGGTATAAATTACAGTATGATTCAGTAATGATGAATAGTAAGATAAGGGGTTTAAGTAACAAACGCTACAGCCATTCACAGGGAGAGAGGATTAGAGCTGAGCTGGAGACATGAAGGGCACGTCTTCCTGCCCAGCAGTGTTTCCACTGCTCTCTGCCACACTTGTCTCTTTCTAAAGCGATTCCTGCCTTCTACTTCTCTACAAGGACTCTGGGAAGACAGAGCCCATAGAAAGACAGCGCCTTGAAATTACAATCACAAATGAAAGTAGCAGCCGACACTCTCTACTGCAAAACCCCCAACTCTGCACTATGGAAAACAAGTTCTTTCAACTTCATAACCTGGGTAATGAGTAACGTGATGATTCTTGAATTATGTTAACTTTCCAGGAAAACAAAACAGGAGTCAATATTATTCCCGAATAGCATAGGCTTAAAAGGCCTAACTTACCTCTTAGTTTTTGTATCTTAGGAACTTTTAAAAACTGTTACAATAAAAAACTTCCATAAAATAGTTGTAAAAGATATAACATACATGTTTTCCAATTTTTAAAAACTGTTGGATTTTTCAATATCTCAAATAAAAAAAATTTCCACTGCCTATGTCGCTATGGGTGATTTTCACTGCCACACGTTGAATTAAGATTGTATTGTTACTTGTACCTCAGTATTTTTTAGAGAAAAGAAAAGCAGATTTCTCTGAAAATTTATCCAAAGTGGACGATGACTGAATGATTTGGGTGGAAAATATTGTGAAGTTATTTGCAGTCAAAATAAGCAAAAAAAAAAAAAAGGTGGTGGTGGAGGAACATCCTCTTAGAAGCACCAGAGGAGTAAACAAAAGGCAGTGGAGGGACCGATTTCTCGCACAGATATTAATCTGATGCTGAGACTTCAGTTATCAGCACGAGGAGGTGCTTTCTCTCTCCACCGACACCCTTACAAACACAGGCACCACACTGGTCCAGAGAGGGCACACAGCCTTGCCCAAGAATCACAGCAAGTGAAGTGGTGGGGCCTGGACGGGACCACTCAGAGTCCAGGGTCTTTGTTCTGTCCAGGACCTGATGCTGTCACTTATGTTTGGGGCATATTTTGTTTCCCACAGCTCTTCAATTCAAACTTGAACTCGCTGGTGAAAGGGAATTCAAAGGTGATGTCCAGAGGTATTTTGGTCTCTACAAAGCCCACAGAATCAGACACTGGTAAGCTGTACCGAGAGAGCTAGTCAGGGTCCCTTTTAAAGGATAACTGCTTTGTAGTATTTGAACTCAAGGGTGAACTGATAGTCTTAAATTGAAGGCATCAGGCTCACATGGTAAAGGGCTGTGTATCTGGGTCCAGCACACCATCAGGGATATAAAATATACTGGATCAAAAGTAAAAACTTACAAACAAAACACTGTGATTGGCATTAACAATGCCAATGCCATTAACTGTTCCAAGATGATGCAACAGTCATAACTCCACACAGGCATAACTTTGGAAATCCCAAATCAGAAACTTCTAAGATTTAAGTCAACAAAGAAAATCAATAGTGGTTTAAGTTTATACTCCCAAATATGGGCTAAGGAACAAAAATACTAATAATACTTACACATATTATTAGGGAGGAAGGAAATGGCAAGTAAGTACACATAAATCAAAAGGAAATAAAAGCTGTCAATGGGGCCTTTAATCTTCCCATTGTGCAATTCACTTTAGCATAGCAACCTTTGTGCTACTCCCACCAGCTGAAAAATTTCCTTAGTTAAACTCTGAGTATCCAAGAACCTGATTAGAGCTCTTCCAAGTACATAAATTCACAGCAGCAATGTGACAAAAAGCAAACACCACCCATCCTCTTGTGCATACATCCATCTTTTCAGCTTTTATCTCAAGTCAGAATAGCCCAATCTTTACCAAACAGTATTTACCACAAATACTGCTTTGAATGATAGGTTTTATGATTAATTTTTCACTTTCTTCATGAATAACTTTCTCAAAAGCAATTTAAATCAAATGAACACAGTTTTATCAAATTCACTACTGTAAAAAAATAACATTTATAGTTCATCTCTCCAGGGTGACTGTGAACATTTTAGGGCAGCACAGGGTTGTTCCTATAGTTAGTTGAAGAAACCCAAAGCTGGGTTTTCTAACTCAAAGTCTAGGGTATTTCCACTGAACCACAGAAAATGGGCAAGAAAGAAAAGCTGCCTTCCTCTGTACCTGGCCACAGATCAACACCATTACCCCAGGCAATGACCCCATAGATGTGAGCCTGAGAGAATGGTGGTATCCAATGAAGCCATCCTCACTACAGAAAAATCAAAGTCTGGAGCAGACCCCACTGCTGGCGGGGACATGACTCTACATCCTGAAAACAGCCTGTGCTCAGATCCTCCAACTTTGCACGTAGGCTCCTTCTTGCTCCAAGGAAAGGGCCTACACAGTGTAGCTAAAGCTCTTGCCCACATTAAAGGGAACTGGTTATTTTGGTGGATTCCTACTTCAGCTCTGTAAGTGACTTGCTTTCTGAACCTCAGTTTCCTCAACAGGAAAGTGGGGGTGGAAACACCTTTTCTCAGGGTTACTGTATGCAAAATGTCCAGTTCAGTGCCTAGCAAATAGTCAAGGCTCATCAAGGGCTGGTCGACTTCCTACCGACCTTTCTACTCTGAACACTTAACTGCTTGTGGGTCAAAATCTCCTTATAAACCCCTGGAGAGACTAACTAAGTACCAAGTATGACTCTTCTACCATCTGTCGAAATCATCTTTGTGTGTATGTGTTGGGGGAATACAGTTCTGATCATGTTTACGTTTAAGAGTCCAGATTTAATCTTGCTACTCGAAGTGTGATCTACAGACCAGAGGCATCAGCATTTCTGGGGAGCTTGAAAGGCAGACTCTCAGGCCGCACTCCAGACTTGCTGAGACACAATTCACGGATCTCCAAGTCATATGTTTGCATCTGTAAGTCTGAAAATCTCTATCTACAATATATGTGCATAGTCAATAAATTGGAGCCTAATGACCCTCTAAGGAATCAACTGTGGCACCTTCTGCTGGTGGTGGTGGCTCTATGAATCTTTATTCAGGCAGAAAGAAACCACTGACCAAGGCATTTTCACTGGGAGGATGGGATAATTGTATACTTCTTACTTTGTCCCTTTTGTGTTTAAAAAATGTATTAAGCACACTGGCTTTAAGGCAATATTTAAATCTTTTGTATTAATGTATTGTATGTTATAAGTGCTCTGAATATAATTAGTAATATGAGTATTCTGACTATATTTTAAACTAACAAACAACAGTTAGGAAGGGTACTTTCAATGGAGTAATTTCTGGTTTCTACAAAGCAACACAAAGCAGATTGATTAGTAATAAGTTTCCACAAACTGAATGTTCTCAAAACAGGTCGACAAAGTTCTTAAAGCCTACACTGTGATTCTGTGCCTTTCCTAGTTCTTTCCAGTTATATGTGAAAGTACAAATTTTAAATGCTCCTGAAAGTAAAATTATAACCCAAATTCCTGAAATGAATCACCAAATGCTGGATAGGGAGACTGGTAACTTTGTGTCTCAGGAAACAAAACCCAACCTGAGTGAGTCATCTCTGTGATCACAGATAACACAGCCACAGCCAGAGCTTGACGAAAACAAATGGCTGCAGCAACCACATGTCAGAGTCTCGTGTTTAATGGTTTCTCACATTAAAATGCATCAGTCAGCGCTGCGAAACCAGGAAGTGGAGCCCAGGACACCACATAAACAACACACACTCTCTTGTGTTTGGTATGTTTCATCCTTCTCCTGCTCTAAGTCCATTTCCATGTTTGGAAGATAACATAAAAATGAAGGTGCTGTTTTGCAAGAGGTAAGCAGAAAGGTATAAGCTAACTATTATGACAGGTTCTGAAATATTTCAAAAGAAAATTTCGCTACTTTCTGAAGGCTTAGTTACTGAGACCTTTGATCCAAAATGAAAAAGGCAATCAGAAGTTAGCAGATGCCTCATAAAATGTACCAGAGGAAGTGGTAATAGGCTCTCGAAGCAGAAAAGCCTGTTATCATTTGACTCCTCACATCATCTCCATGCACGGCTCTTTCTCAGGTACCTGAGCTTGAAAGCAAGGATGAGTGGGAAGTGAACTCACGCTACCCGGCACTGCTATCTAGATGCTACTCCTGGCACCCGGTAGCAAACTACCCCAGAGTGAAGAGCCACAGGTCGTCCTCTCGAAGCCCTTGATGGGGATATACGCCAGAGCCAGGCCTGCCGCGTGTTGGCCAGGCTCAACACAGGGGTAATGCAACAGCCAGGCTCTGCTTTTCGAAAGGGGGCGTCTCCTTTCACACAGCACACCCACTGGCAGGCCGTGGAATGGCATCCACGGGAACATTACTTAAATGGCAGACAGGGCCCTGCTCCTGCACGCACAAAAGAAGTACTTTTCTCTGAAATACTGGAGGCCAGTTGGGGACACTGGAAATATTCCCCATTCCCTTCCTTCACTAGACATCTCCCAAAGTTATAAACAATCTATAATTTCTGAAATAAGAATAAGAGAAAATGTCTCCATATGGCCCCCAGCAACCACCCCTGTTGTTTCCACAAAGCACACCCTACCTCATAATGAAGGGAACGAAAGGTGCCATGCTGAGGGCAGAATAGGTGCCATCCATCGGGGAAGGGTAGAGTCTCCCCAACACCAAAAGTAATAGGAACATGCTTGGGTGACGGTTTAGTTCTCCTATGTCACTGAAAGAAAAAAACATTGCACATGAAAGATTTAAAATTTAAGACGTAAGGCACTATCTTCAACCATTTTTCTCATTAATTACATATATTAAATGAGACTCTAATTAAAGGATAGTTTTATGTTTTTCATCCCCCCCATTCACTTCATATATTCCTGATACATAAATGAGGAAGAACTACTGCCAAAGTCATGGATGGGGCTTCTGCATCTAACTCTCTTCTCAAAACTTATCATATAATAATTTGAGTCTGCTGCCTTTATTTGAGCTGTTCATACAACACAGGTGCCCGTTCTAAAGAATGAAATGTGAAACTTTCAACACCCAAATGTACTTAAGAAAGCGCGGACAGTCACTTACTGGGGCCAGAAAACCCTGTCTGCACGAGTTCCTAATGAAGAAACGCATAATAAACAGAAGTAAAACTCATCGATGTGACTTTGTTTCTCCACTACAGACAACCAATACAAATTCATACCAACTTCTAGAGGAATAAAAAAGTGCCTATGCTAAGAGGCCCATATGAAACATTCCACCACCAGCTACAAATGTGACTGGAAGGTCAATGGTGACCTTCCCCATCTGCTTTGCTTGGACGGGGCTTTTTTTCCAGGGCTCCTGGCCGTGGCTGCTAGGGCAGACCAGACCCATTTCTAATCCCAGGTGACCAGATTGGTCAGCTACCTGTGGTAGTTTCACAATAGTCAGCTATAACAGGCCAGTAAAAAAACCCAAACCACAAACCAAAAAGCCCAGGTGTGGATTAAAGTAAATTCAATATGTAAACACACATATTTTTAAATATAATAGGAAGAAAATTATTATTTTTTTCCTTTTCATTACATTTTCTTGGGTGCCACTGGTTAACAAGATTATATAGGTTTCGGATACACCATTCTCCAGCACATCAACTGTACGCTGTACTGTGTGTTCACCACCCCAAGTCAAGTCTCCGTCCATCACCATTTACCCCCCTACACCTCAAATGGGAGAGAAAGAAAGAGAGACATGGACACATGTGACACAGAGACACACGTTTGTGTCCGCTCATGGACATAAACAACAGTGTAGTGATTCTTCACAGAAGAGATCACCACGTGCTTCTAAAAAGCTAGTTCCTATGTAACACTGAAACAGGATTAAATATGACAAAATTTAATATAAAATAGGATTTTAAATATATAAAAACAGGATTTTATACAACTTTTCAAGTATAAATTTACTAAAGAGACTCAGGCAACATGACGTAGTAAAGAAGCACTTTAAAAAATCCATCTACATTACAAGAAAGGAGCTGATTAAAAACTGTTGGGAAAAATCTCAATTTAATGAAGTCATGCACATCCTTGATTTCGCTTTGTCCTACCACATTCTCTTCTTACCTGTCCACGGTATTGGCTACAGCTTCTAACTGTTTGAGAAGAAAAGGATAGAGTTCTGGGAAACGAGAGAAAAATTCGCTCCCTGTCATTCTGTGAGGAGAAAAAAAAGAGAGAGAGAGAGAGAAATTACTATCACTTCATTTCCTCTAATTTGATAATAAAGCCTCTTTATTTTTACTTGGATATTTATTTTTATCAAGTTTACTGAGACTGTACAGGTTAATCACTTAGGCTTCAGGTGTGTCATTCTATAGCGCATCATCTGTGCACCGTACCATGTGCTCACCACCCACAGCGCAGTCTCCTTCCGTCACTACTTACCCCCGCCCCGGACCCTCTTCTACCTGCTTCCACCCCAGTTCCCTCTGGAAATCACCATACTCTATTTAGATATTTAATGAAATAATGTTTAGAACAAAACCTACATCTGAAGAATTTAATAATCAGCAGAAACAATGCACTTAATTTTGATTTGCAAAGTGCTCGTAATAGGTGGGAGTTTACCTCCCAATTTAAGATTATGTATATTTACAAATATTTGATATCAAATTGTGTCAGGAAAAAAATACATAATTTGTAGAAATGCCAAGTTTCCAACGATTACTTTGGACCATGAATGTGGTCAACACCTGGCTGACCGTGCCTGACTCAGCTTCATTAATAAGGGAGAGTCTGGGATACCGTTTCTCAAAGTTGGCACCAATGACCAGGTAATTCTGTGCTGTGGGGCTGTCCCTGTGCACTGCAGGATGGCTAGCAGCCTCCACGACTGCTACCCATTAGGTGCCCATAGCACAACACCGCCCCACAGTCAGGACAGTCGGCAATGTCTCTGGACACTGCCAGATGTCCTCCGAGGGGGAAAAGTCCCTGGTGGAGACCACTGGCCCGGAGTGTGGTTATCAGGTGTGTATGAACTTGGTGTGTGAGGTTCTGGGGACCCATTCCAGCTAGCACCTGTGAGGATTACCTTCTCCATCTTTATGAAACTACTCTTAAACTCTGACAAGGTCCTGAAAGTAGTGCCTCAGACTGCACAACCAACCAAAGAAGCTCATATTAAACACGGCATTCAGTTAAGTATTAAGTACTCTGTCTCCATAAGTAGTAGTTCTACCCTAAGTTCTCCATACTTATGGTATTAACTACTGAAGGGGTGGCATAAATATTCCCTACCTTGCTCCCTCTTATTAACTCTAGATATATGCTTCTATCAGTAGAGACCCAAAATATCATATATGCTTTAAAACTGCAGTATATTTTACACACAGTGAAATGCTCAAGTCTCAAGTACACATTCAGTTTTCACAAACGCATACACTCATGCACTTCACTCCTCTATGAAGACTCAGTAAATTTCCATCATCTCAGAAAGTTCCCTTGTGCCCCTTCCCAGTCAACTCCCAATCCTCGAAGCAATCATGATTTAATTTCTATCACTACAGTTTGGTTTTGTCTAGTCTAGAATTTCATATAAATATAATAATACATTACATATTTTTTGTGTCTGTTTTTCTCACTTGGCGGAAAGTTTATGAGATTCATCCATGTTATTCGATATATCAAGAGCTGGACTCTGTGTTTGCTGAGTAGCGCTCCATTGTATGAACATACGAGTTTGTTTGTCCATTCCCCTCTTGACAGACACGGACTGTTTCCGCTTCTCAGCTATGATGAAAAAAGTGGCTAGGAACATTTCTCTATACTTTTTTTTGTGGATATATGTTTCCATTTCTCTTAGGTAAATATATAAAGCTGTAGTATGTTTAATATTTTAGGAAACTGTAACAGTTTTCCAAAATAATTACCACAGCATTTTACGCTCCCAAGAACAAGAAGAGTTCTGGGGCCTCTACATTTTTCCAGCATCTGCTCTTGTCTTTTTCTTTTCCATTTTAGCCATCCTAGTGGGTAAGTGGTGGTACCTCCCTGTGACTTTAATTTACAGTTCCATGATGATTAATAATGTTAAACATATTTCATGTGCATTGGTCACTGGAAAGGACTTTCGCATAGTACCTATTCAAGATTTTTGCCCACTTTTAAATTAAGTTGCTTATTTCTTTCACCATATACACATTGCATGTACTTTCTCCAAGTTTGTGGTTTGTCCATTTATTTTCTTAATGTATTTTGATGAACAGAAGTTTTCAATTTTTGATACAGTACAGTTATTGGATCAATTTATTTTTTTTATGATTCATGATTTCTATGACCAAAGAAATCTTTCTCTATCTGAACATCACAAAGATATTCTGTTTTCATCTACAAGTCTAATAGTTTCAGCTTTTACATTGAGTTCTATGATCCATCTGAAATAAGGTACGAGGTAGAGGTCAAGGTTCTGTTTTTCTATATTGGTGTATCATAGTTTTAATAGGGAGTTAAGAAAAGACATCAGCCTTAAATAGGTGAGGTTATATTGTAAAGATGAAATTCTCCCCAAATTCAATGCAATTCCAATAAAAATAGTAATAGTGTGTGTGTATAACCAGACAATCAGATTCTAAAACATATATAGACAAAGGGCTGAGCAAGAATAGCACAGATAATATTGAAAACCACAGAACTGTAGGACTCATATTATCAGGTAGCTTGAAATAGAAAACTTTAGTAGTTAGGACACTGGTGACAAACAGGCCAGCGAAATAAAACAGAGAGCATAGTGACACACACCCCTAAAAATCTGATTTATGAAAGAGCTGGTATACAAACGACAGTACTATGAAAATCATACATGCTACGATATCTAATTATCCACACAGATAAAATGAAAATTGGATCCCAAACTCCCACTATATACAACATTAAATTCTAGTGAATTCAGGACTTAGAAATAAAAATTAAAACTGTTACACTCTTTTCTTTTAAAGATTGTGCACCCCCTACTGGGGACCTGGCCAGCAACCCAGGCATGTGCCCTGACTGGGAACTGAACCAGCGACCCTTTGATTCGCAGGCTGGCACTCAATCCATTGAGCCACACCAACCAGGGCTACTAAACTCTTTAAACGATAGTTGAGAAAAGACTAGACTAGAGAGTAGAAACCTGGTAATCCAATGCGCATTCACTAAATGTGTATCTTTTAACCTCAACTAGAGAACAAATATCTGTAGGTAAGGGACTGCATCTATCTGTACTTCCTTGCATCTCTTTATTTTTTTAAGATTATTAATTTACTTATTTATTTTTTAGACAGAGGGGAAGGGAGGGAGAAAAAAAGGGAAAGAAAAGTTAATATGTAGTTGCCTCTTGTGTGCCCCCTACTGGGAACCTGGCCTACAACCCAGGCATGTGACCTGATTGGGATTCAAACCAGCAACCCTTTGGTTGCTGGCTGGTGCTCAATTCACTGAGCTCAATTCACTGAGCCACACCAGCCAGGGCACTTCCTTGAATCTCTCTCGACATACAGCATAATATTATATAAATATTAGTTGACTGGTATGAATAAATAAAGAACGTTAGCCAGGGAGGAAAAAATTCTAATATAGTTAACTTCAAATCTATGCCTTATGCCTTAACTCCCCCTCCCCTTAACTCTCTTGTGAAATACAAATCTAATCATGTGATATTGTAAGATTAATGGCTCCGTACTGCTTTCTGAATAAAGTCTAAGCTCCTGATTTACAAAGTTCTGCTTAATTTGACTCACTTGTCCAGCCATTTTTTGCCTCTACCTTTGCAACCGAACCACACAGAATTTTTTTGCGGGGCGGGGTTCCTATCAATACTTTTCTAGTCTCCAGAACGTGGCAAATGTTGTGTCTTCTGCTAGGACAAGCTTCTTCCTTTCTTCATCCCAGAGTAACTCCAAATAATCCTTCAATTTTGGGCTTTGGCCGACTTTTGCAGGGACACCCTCCCAGTGTCTCAAATAGGGGTTGAGTGGCTGTCATGGGTGTTACATTACAATCTACACATTCCACGTAAATCCCATCATAGCACTGGAAGCATGTCATACATGGGATTTCCTGTTTACTTTCTTATTTCTCCCATCAGATTATACATTCTGCATGGGCCAGGACTATATCTATCTTATTTTTCCACATTGTCTCAGGTACTGAGTATGATGCTCAATTCATAGCTGGTGCCTAATAAATAGTTGCTGAGTGAATGAAGCAAAACAAAAGGACAGAGTCCTTGACACAATCAAGGAGAAAAGGAATTATTATTTAAAATGGTCCTCATGAGAGGACATACTCACTGATTTTAGAGAGAGAGGGGAAGGGAGAGAAGGAGAGAAACATAACGCCAGACAGAAACACTGATTGGCTGCCTCATACGTGACCTGACCTGCAACTCAGGCATGTGTCCTGAATGGGAATTGAACCCATGACCTTTCAGTTTACAGGACAACACTCCAACCAACTGAGCCACATCGGCCAGGTCACAAATTCGTAATTTCTTAAAGTGTCTCATTACCTATACCTAAGAACCTTCAGAATCACATTTTAATTAATAAACAATATCCTGTCGGGCCTGAAATTTTCTTAAACACAAACAAATAAAGCTTGTCTCACTGGCTTGCAAATACTTCATCTAGCTCACCCAAATAAGCAAGCCAGCTTATTTGATATGTTACCTCCAAAGATACAAGCCTTGGGGGTAAATTCCCCAGTGACAAACATTTCAAACCTGTGTATGTACGTGGCTAAAAACTAGCCCAGCAACTTTATGAGAACAAGAGAAGTGGTAGCCAAAAGGAAAAAACTAATCTCTTGTAATTTCAAGCTCCTAGGAAGACAAAAGGAGACCACCAAAAGTCGTGAATGGGATGAAAGAGACAGACGGAGGTGAAAACAAACAAGCTGGGCTGGAAGGGGAGAATAAAGAAGCTGCAATTTAGGACTGTCAGACTACACAAAAGCTGAGTTATGCCCTACCCACCAGGTAAGATTACCCAGGCATGACTGATGAAAGGCCCTTGGGGAAACACAGAAGCTCCTTGGAAAACATCTACTTGTCCAGCACCAACAATAAGGCACCAGGAGCACAGAGTGGCCGTGAGCTCCTCCCACACACTCTTCTGCCTGACCCGGCTCAGTGGTGGGCCCGGGCTGGGCTGAGCCAGGGCGCAGGGCAGAGT